TATTTTAAATTAATTTTCCATAACTTTTGGATATTGGTGGCATCGGAATATGAGCCCGAGCCTTCCGAATGTCATTACGCAATGTTAACCATACAGCTAACGCGACTCCACAAAAAGGCAGCTTCTCTCATCTGTTGCGGAACTTTCGGTACCAGCACGATGGCTATCGCGCTGCAATCAAAGAAAATTAAATACCTCAATAAGTGCAATTCACCCTAGACATCTCCATTCTTTTGCGCCTGCGTTTATTTTGCAGTTGATGTAAATGACCGCTACGACTGTGCAGCATAATTAAACGCGATTGGACGGCTAAGCTGCGCTGTTCTCAATTACGACAAACAAACCAGGGCCCTTACTACGTTTTGCGTTTCGAAAGGAAAAATGTTCGAACTCGAATAAATGCCACTATGCGGTACTACCTAACGCGAATGCGACAGTAAATTATATTCGAAATTTTTTTTTATTGTATATAAAAAATTTTTAGAGTAAATTAAACAAAGAACGTACATACCCAAATAGGGCAAGTATTAGATAGTGTCATTATCAGTTCGGATCGCATCTTGCTTTCGAATTGCATTGCTTTTCGAATCGCAGAAGCCCAGGTTTTCCACTCTCCTCTTCCCATACCACCACTCTACCCCTCATCAAGCCAAAAACCAGCTGTCTACAAGCTTCAAAAGGAAAATTGCATCCCACGAATGAGGAACAAGGTCAATATGTCTATATTTAACCACGAAGCTTAGACAATATATTAAAAGAAAATGAAGTCCCAAACTATGGCAGCACTGTTTCGAACCTTCGACCTCAACTCTTTGCCGATAATCTCATTCCAAAGCTTACATATACGTATTCGTATGCTTCTCCACAAAGGTTATTCATTTCGAAGTATGTTCGGATTTAACGACAGTAGAGTTTAAGGCGGCCTTCGCACTATCGAGCGTAGAGATGCATCTCGCACATAATAATATCCGACAAACCTTTTATAGGAGCATCGCGGAGTCATAAAAGAAAACTTTCGTCCATCCTCAAGAAAGCCACTGACGAAATCGCTAGCAAGTATTCACGAAGTCACTTTGTGGTATATTCTTTCATATAAACCAAAAATGTAAGAACCTTAGGAAGCCGTAGCAAAACGCTGTAAAACCTATTTCACAAAACTCGCAGTAAACCACTTTCTCCAAAGTGCTACGATACCGAAGATCTAAAGAGTTTAGCCCCAGATCATTTTTTATGAAGTGCGCCCTTCTTCTCCATACCCGAGCCGAACTCAGAAGACCTCTCCCTCATTAATAAATGGCAAAAGCTAGAGTACTCCATCAACAGTTTAGCAAGCACTGCAAAAACGGATACTTCCAGCACCTCCAAAAGCGTTACATATGGAAAGGACAACAGTGCAATGAGCGAAGATGATCTCGTCGTCATCAAAGACGACCTTTTAGCAATCTTCCGACCTGCAGTCTTTCCACACTGACATCACATATCTTTCAGACCACACTTCAGAAAGTTTCGACTGTATACCACTTACACTCATTGCGCCACTACCGGTCTGCGAAGGTGCAAAAAATACTAAATAAATTGTCTGGCAATATCGCACTCGATAAAACGACAAATCGTACCTCGGGTCCTGTTAACGAAACTAAGAGAACAATCGGTAAGTTATCTTCCTAGCAATACTTACTCGAATGTATGTACATATATAACATACTTATCCGAATACTTACTCTCATGAAACTACTGCCAATCTAAACATATTGCAACCTCCCTACTCCCTACCCATTATTTATCCTAAAAGAAACTTCTATTTAAAAAATAAATATATAATATATTTACTACAATTTGGAAGGCTCGGGTTCAAATCCTGGTGCCACCAACATCCTCCCAGTGTATTTCGGACATGAAAACAAATTAGAGGATGAGCTCGGCCGAAAAATCGCTTTAGCGGTTACAAAGCGCCAATTATATATACTATATTGGAGTTCGCAGTGTGTCTACTGAGCATGAAAGCATATCAGAGAGAGCATTCCATTTTACTCCAAGGGTTGCAGTTGACACCGAACGTGACTATTTTTAGCCTTTAATCTACTATTGTACCATTGGGAGATCTACGGAATAAGATGCGCTAGAAGTCCTGGTCCTCATTATGCGACTGTATTTGGCGATATATTTTCCCAATGTCGCCATTGAATACATACTTACATAGACCCCATTTGAAAATTAGGTCATTTTGGAGAATGGGGCCAGTATGCAATGCGTCATTGAGTGAGATGCCAGAGGGAGAGGGCTTTGGCGGGTTGAAAACTACTCTAACTCTAGTAGTCTTACTGCTAGGATTTATTACTGCGTTATGCAGTAGGTAAAATTTACCATTGCATCTTCGCGATGTGGTCTAGTGTCTGAATGTCGTAAAGCAGCTGCGTCAAGGAATAATGATTTGTAAGGCAGCTTTCCCATATATTGGCGACCTTCTCTTCTGTACATAGTATAGGTGTTTGTAAAAGCCATCGTCTTCTGTCTGAGTTGTGGTACCTACGACCTCCTTCTCGCTCTCTTAAATTTCTCAGTAAGTTTCTTAGGGAATCGTATGAACTTTCTGGAGAATCACGATCCTTGTTCTGAAATTGGGGCGCTTACTATCCGCACAAAAATTGTTTCGGACGAAACTCGTTACAGTATGGATGAGTACCGAAACGTCAGTTGCAAAGCAACCATACATTGTCAAGCATTCCTAAATGCAAACTGTGCATTGCAAACTGTGCAAAGTTTGACGACATATCATGTTCCAAAATGTATCGACAAAGTTATTGGTGGACAAACAAAAGCAAGGTTTTTGGTGCTTTATTTTATCATAAATTTTTAAAAACAATTACCGAAGTCGGAAGTTAAGTTTCTGCGCTAATTCTTTATTTTAAACATGAAATTACTTAATTTTTTGATCTGTTTTATATTTTAGTCATTTCAATGAATCGATTTATTTGCACGAAGAGCTTTCCAAAAGATCAGAGTTTGCAAGGTATTGTATCAAGACAAATTAATAGAATGCAAGTTTGCATTGTAATGATACGGTTGCGAAGCTGTGTTTTGCAACTCACCCTCACTCTTGCCAACAGGGGCTACTTTGGACAGAATAAGCAATTAAAAGTAAAGTCCTCTCTCGACGAACGAAAACTAAATTCTGCAAGTAGCTCATCGTTCTCGTCCTGGTACGGAAGCGTGGACGATGAAAGTATCGTTTTTTTTTGGAGTTTTCGAGAGAAAGGTTTTGCATAAGATTTATGATCCTTTGCGAGTTGTAAGCGGCGAATACCGCAGCCGATGGAACGATTATATGTACGAGATTCACGGAGTTATTGACTTATGTAGTTCAGCGAAGCAAGAAACCGCGGCTGCGCAGGCAAGGTCATGTGAATTCGATGCAAACCCGGTGGAGAAAGCTAAGAGAGGGGAAGACCTCCACTCCGTTGGAAAGACCAGGTAGAAAGAAAAAGAGGTATTTCCAATAGGCGTCAATTTCGTTAACTCGGTGTAACAGGTGTCTACGGCGGTAAAGAAAGTAAAAAAAAAGGCTTCCACATGTATATGAATAAATATTTACAATGTACCGTTGTTATTACATTTTAGTGGAAAAATTCTAATGAACGTGTTATCTGTTTTATATTTTAGCTATTTCACCGAATAGCATTTTAGTTGCACGAAAAGCGTTCCAAAAGGTCAGAGTTTGCAAGATATTGTAACAAGGCAAATTTATAGAATGTAGGGTTGCATTATAATGAGGCGGTTGACGTTTTGGAACTCGCTCCTACTACTGGCGAAATTTTAGACCACTATAGTAAAATTTCTTTCGGAGTATTTATGCTGGTTATATTTCTTTTCCTTATTTACCGATCCAAATACTCCCACAGATGCTCAAAGGCGTTGAGGTCCGGTGATTGTGGGGGGATCCAGTTGTCTACGTGTACGGTAACGGTACGGCAACCATTTCTTTACTATTCTAGCCGTATGCTTAGGATCGTTGTCCTGTTTGGAAGATCCACGATTGATCTAAGACGCTTAGGTATTCAATTTTTATCATTGTGCTATCAATAAAACCCATCCAGTGGACAGTGCCTAACGTATTGTCATCGCCGTTTCAGTGACAGTTGTTCTTGTTTTCGTATTATTCACGCTCGCAATTGTCCGTTTATGTGCCTAATTCTCGCCGTTTGCCGGAAGTTTTACTTTTCAATGCTACAATTCGAAAAAAAAATGCAGCTGACGCGCATCTAATGCTCTCAGAAACTTAAGGTGATGAAGGCGCCAAGGTTATGATTTGTATTTGGTGGGATCAGCTCGGTGTGACTTACTACGAGCTCTTAAAACCGGGTGAAACCATCACAGGAGATCGCTACCGAACGCAAATGATGCGCCTTAGTCGCGCGCTAAAAGAAAAGCGGCCACAATATCAAGAGCGACATGACAAAGTCATCCTCCAACACGACAATGCTTGGCCTCACGTCGCAAAAGTGGTCAAAAAGTACCTGGAAACGCTGAAATGGGAAGTCTTGCCCCACCCGCCGAATTCCCCAGATGTCGCCCCTTCTAACTTCCACCTACTGCGTTCGATGGCACACGGCCTGGCAGATCAACATTTTCAAAAAAAAAAAAACAGCGGAAGCAAAGTTGTACACCTGATATTTTTTTCTTCCCGAAAACTTCGAACTTGCTTTCGTCTGAAACGATTTGTCCTCAGTTTTATATTTGTCCGCAAAACCAATCGCCGCTTTTGGTTCTGCGTAGAGATGTGAAATCTTTTCGCCGGTACCCGATCATACAGAGGCCTACTACCGTATTTGTATACTATATTTTTTACGAAAAAAATAAGCTTACCAATGTGGCCGTTCTTGCAGGATCTTTAGCCATAATTAGTTGTTTTAAAGAGATCTATGTTTTGGAGGTCACCTAACAATTCCGCCAAAAAGCTGTCGCATTTGAGCGAATGGTGTATAATAATAAAAAAAAACGAATAAATAAATTGGTATTTATTTAGAATTTGTAACACATAAAGGATTTATTTGAAGCCATCAGTACACATAGATAGTTTTTAGTTGTGGTTTAAGTTCAGGAGGAATGGTTGGGTGTGTATCCGGCTTCTTGGCAGCGAAGCGTTTGAATCGACCGCTAAATTGTTTCTTAAGTCCACGTAAAGTATTCTTTTCCTCGACTGCTTCGAAAGTATCCTGGAATAAAAAAAGATCATCTTAATCGTATGCTAATAATGCTATTGTATTAGCATACAAAGTTTATTATTGAAATTATTTGTAAATATTCTTAGTTAAGCTTTAATACTTTTGACTTTCATTGCTAATAACTAAAACAATTGAGTCACAATTTAGGTAAAACTGATTGTTTATATTTAGATGAGTTTGAATGATTATTATTTTAAGTTTCAAGGAAAGAAGCATTGATATAAAAGCATACATCAGCTGGGTAGTAGTGGCACCTTCTTCGACACTGTAGTCCCTAGTACAGTTGCCATGATCATCTGTGGGCTGGCAGCCTATTAGCTTCCGATATCAAAGCAAGACCCAAGAAAAAGAAAAAAGGTCGCCATTGCTTGAGAATCATGCAAATAAGTTGAGAACCAGGGATCGCTCAAGGATGAGTTAACAAATCAGTAAACTAAAGCCCCGTGACTAACAGAAAACATGAACACGAAATTATTAATTTTCGAAGGCAACGTACTTTCGATTATCTGGGATATAAATGATAAGTGTTTTGCTTGTTTGCCTTAGTTTCGGAGATCGGACCACTATAACGTATTGTTGCGAAAATACGAGGCGAATGTCAGATGAAAGAGAGAAGCCGATAACTAGTACATTCTAGAATGATAAAACGAGAACCTTCGATAGCGATCAACTCGATTATTCTACACTTTCGTCTACGAGCAGCCGACTGCTATATAAGAGCGACACTCAGCTGCCAAGTCAAGTCAGTTCCAAAGTGAACTCGTTGGCGTTAACATCAGTAAAGTCGTAAAGTAAACGCGTTGGGGAGTACATTTAAGTAGAGTAAATTGTGAAAGTTTATGCAAGTGATTGTAGCTAGTAAAGTGCATTGTAATTGAATTGTGAATTACTGAGTAAATAAAGGGCATTAGATAAATTCGTTATAACGAAAGAAACTGCAAATTAAGTTGGCGATTTTTATTTACTAATCCAGAGATCGTACCCGAAGGATTCAGAAAATCATAGACGTTGATTTAGCAAAATCGTAACAGTATCTATATATGCGCTTTTCAGAATTTTAGAATTTAGGACTGGATATTTTAAAACTCTTATTGCAATAGGACGACCTATAGAAGACCCACTAGGCGAATGGAATCTCGTTCAAGGGTTACTAAAAATGAGTTTCAAAGTACTAAAGTAACAAATTTTGGTCGGAAGAGGTAAGTTTGAATTTAAATAATTAATTGCATTGATATTTTGGTATTACATACAAAAAATCGGTCTTAATTAATTGACTAAAATTCAGGCGACAATTAAGCAAAATAAATATACCAAAAAATCAACTCAAGACTGCTCAACTTTGAAGGGATATATCTCAGAAAACCGTTGCTTTGCTTTACCAAAAACGGCTGCTTTCAATTATTTCTCCTTTTTTCCATGATAATGATATGAATCCTTCACATGAATATGGTTTTCGCTACAAAACATGGCACAATTAAACACGTAAATCGCATTTTGTCGCCGCCAGACAAGAAATTTAGCTAAATTAGCAACAGTGGTGAGCCATCACTAAACCTGCAAATGATCACAAAGATAACATGAAGACATTTAAGGGGCACACCTAGTGTGAAACTTCAAAAAAATCGATATTTTTTTCATAATTCAGTAGATTACACCTTTCAAAATAACATCAAATCGATATCTCAAATAGTTTTTGAGTTATATCAATTTAAAGAGCAGCCACTCGGCAGCTAGAGAGTCTCATTAGCTAAGAGTGAAAACGATCATTTCACCTTTAAACGTTTTTTTCCCGAAACCGCATTCTTCGAATCCGCTGCAGTGATTACTCAAAAACAAATGATCCGATTATTATCGAATTTTTTTTACATGTTCTCCGTACAATGACCTATGGATTTTTGATCTGATCAAAAATTCGAATTTCGGCAGGCCAAAAACGACCAAAATTTTGGATAAAATTCGATTATTTTTTAAAACGCCGCCATATTGTCAATTTTTGATTTTAGGTCATTGTAGGTCATTGTACAGACAATATCTAGTTTAACGAGAATTTTTTTTTAGATTTCATCCACGGAGAAGGCCGGAATCACTGCAGTCGACTATAACTTAAAAAATATTTAATTTTTTTCTTCAAAAATTTCACTCTACATTCTTGAAACATGTTTGAATATATTCTTAAAATTTTGAAATAATTAATAAAGTATTTTTTTTAATAATAATTCCCAAAAATCACCTTTTTTTAGGCCATTACACAGGCCTGGTTTAAATCCTTCTCATCAAGGCTGTCGTCGAGCCCAACACTGGTCCGAAATGTTATTTCTTTTGCCATACACTACTCCACCATTTTTCCCATTTCGAATAGATGCAACTAGTGCAATAGCCAATTAAAAATAAAAGAGAATTGGTTTTCTTTTTTTTAATTTTTCTTTATTTGAATTTTTAAAATACTTCGATTTCGTCAAACATTTATTAAAAAAAAAAAAACAGTCAGATAAAAATGTAATTTTCCATCTAGAGTGGTACGAAAAAAGGTAAAAAGGAAATTACTCTGGGAATGTAAAGTTAATATTATTATATATATATATAATTGGCACTTTGTAAGCACTGAAGCGATTTTTCAGCCGAGCTCCTCCTCCGATTTGTGGTTTTACGTCTTGATGTCTTTCCAACAATTGGAGGGACCTACAATTTATACTAAGCCGCCTCCGAGCGGCTGATGTTTTTTTTATGAAGAGCCTTTATTTCATGTCAGAAATATACTCGGAGGCGTTGACATTCCCAGCCGACACGCAACCCCTGCAAAACGACACTAGGATTTTAAACCGATAAAAGGTTGTTGTTGTTGTTGTTGTAGCGGTCCGCTAACTCCACTTAGGTACAGGTTTAATCAATCTAAGTCGCCGAGGTCATCTAGTGAAAGGTCCAGAAAATGTGCTGTTTCGACGGGATTGAACCAGAGGGAGAGGGGGTTAGATGAGTCGGTTTGAGGGTGCATTTGAAGAGGTGGTTAGTGTCTTGCGAAGGCTTTCCACATACAGGGCAAACATTGTATATCCTGGGGATAGGTAGGAGTGTAACCTGCTACAGTGTACGGTAGCATCCCAGTAGGAATTGCTTGCACAGCAAAGCATTATGCTCCCTAACTCATGCAAGTCATGATCCGGCGACATTAGGAGGTTTCCTGTCGCAGTCCTGTGGGCGGTCTTCTGGTTAGCCTGTAGCTTCTTCATCTGCGTCTCGTTCGTCCCCGGCGCTCAGATCGGTGCAGCACAGTTTACGACCAGCCGGCCAATTGGTTTGTAAGTTGCCGGCAAAGTTTCTTTGTCTTTACCCCAGGTGCTGCCGGCTAGCGCTTTGTGTATTTAGTTGCGGCTCTGGAGTGTTTCGGCAATTGCGGTCGTATGCGGAGTGAAGGAGTGCAGGCTTTTCTAGTGTTACTTTCAATATCGTTGGGTTGTTTATAGACGGAATTTTAACGTCATCGACCTTACCATCTAATTCAAGACTGCATTCCTTCGTCCACCGGTTATTTTTTAACTGTCGTGCAGTGAAAGCGTGAGAAAGATCGGCAGTTCACTTTCGAACAGAAGTCATCATTATCGTGACCAAACGCAATTATCGTGCAATCATCGGCATATGAGTTTAGGGAAACCCTTTCTGGTGGACGCGGAAGTTTCGATATGTAAAAATTTAGCAGTAATGGGGAGTGAGACCACCTTGCTTAATCCCCTGTTTAATTTTCATGGGTTTCGATGTTTCACCTCGGAATATAATCGATGATTGCAGCCCCGGTGGTAATGAGGATTCCTCAATGTCCGTTAGTAGCACTGAATGGTTGACGGTGTCAAAAGAGTCTGACAGATCCAGTGCTACCAGGACAGTTCGCGCGCAGGGTCGGTTATGGTTAAGGTCATTGACTATATGGGTGTTTATGGCATTTAGTGCTGTTGTGGTACTATGCACTCTACAGAAGCGAGTGAAGGTCGGGAGCAGCAAAGCCTCAAGTCGGCTGATAAAGGTCTCCTTTGTTGGCTAGTTTCCACGGCTTGAGTAGCGATAAAAGGTCATCTGTATTGCTCATAGGAAATTTAACTTCAACGGTCACATCTGCTATCCAATATTTTTCGAACTACCAAAATAGGTGGACTAGAAGATTTTGTTATTATGCTAGACTTTAACATATCTTTAACTTGTTTATTGTCTGACTTATGCTGCAATTACCCATTTTACATACCGCACAGCCATAACACCCGTCTGTAATAGAATATACAAACACGAGTATTTATTCCCCTCATAAAATTAGGTTGCTATGGACAAAAGGACAGTGTAAGATGGGTAGTTGCAGCATTAGCTTCTAAAATTTCGACGTTAATATTCCGTAAATTAAATTCTTTGAATCTAGCAAAGCTGTCGTTTTGAATGTTATATCTATCTATCCAATTTTTTCCTAACAGCACTGATAAATAAATATTTGCTATTTAGAGGTGTTGCTACTCCAGAATCTATAAACAGTTTTATTGGTATGGTTTTAATTATTACTATTACAAAGAAAAGAAATCTGTGGCCTGTGAGTGAAAATTGTCTGCTTCTATGTTGTCAATTTTCATTTTTTCGTTTCTTTGTAGTCCCTTGTTGTTCGAAATATTCCTGTTTGTTGTTGCCTATTTTGGTAATTGTTAAGTGGTTCTTGTCTACGATATTAGGTTAATTTCGGTGTCCGACATATATGCATATTTGGAAATTTTTTTATTGCTGTTATTATTTAATGGACTTTGTTGAGTCTCTTTTATTGTAATTCATGTTTTTATAAATATAAGTAATACGTAGAAATTTCGTTAGCACTTATTATTGATTTCAAATTTAGTTTACTTAACCATGCAACTAAATATTCGTAGAGGTCATTAATTTTTAGTTTTAATATATTCACAAACTCGATAATTAGTTTTTAATATAATTTTTATGGTTGCCCATTCTAATGGATATCCGTTATTTAT